CCCCCCCCCCAAAAAAATAAATAAATTTAAGTTTGTTTTTAAAAAATATTTTCAATTTCAAAAATTATTTTCTACTCTAGTAAAAATAAAAGATATTTCTCAAAAACATTTTTCATTCATAATAAATCAAACACTAAAGATCTTTTTCGGAAAATATTTTCTAGTCACCAACCAAACATGAGAAAATAAGTCAAAAATCAACTTGTTTTCCAGGAAATCATTTTCCAGGGAAAACATTTTCCTTCATACCAAACACACCCTTTATCTTCTCACCTAATTTTGCGCAATTTTTGTGTAAATTAAAAGTAACTCCCTCCATCCCATTTTTGTGTAAATTAAAAGTAATCTCCTCCATCCATTTTATGTGACACTCTTTCCTTTTTAGTCCATTCGGAAAAAAATGTCACCTTGTCATAATTAGAAACAATCAAACTTTTATCTTCAGTGAAATGATTTTAAACCACACAAATATCTAAAAATGATTTTAGACCATAAATTTTAAAAATCTTCCTTTTAAAACACCGTGTCAAGTCAAAAAGTGTCACATAAAATGGGACAGAGTCATAGCCTAACAACATCATAAACACCATCTCTTCCTTTGCTATAATTTGTTCGCTTCAGGTAAGCACTTGGACAAGTCCCATGGGTATTGCTATATATATGGGGATGATTCGGTGTAATTTCTGAGGTGTTTAGAATGAATCTGATACTTGGATTCAAGGAAGAAAACGGAAGCAACTTTTGTATATATATAATGTTGTATATCACGAATGAGCTATTGTATTTTGAGCTAAAGATTTACAATATTTCCAGCTGGCGTTGTTAATGTTAGAAATATTGGTAAACTTGGAAGTGCTAAATATCCCACTATTGTTATTGGCATCCAGTAGCTCAATCCTACTTTTTAATTAAAACAAATGGCAGCCTACCAGTTATCACCATATTCATAGTATATTCAATATTGTATGTAGGTCAGCACAAACTTTGTAGATACATATCAAAGCAATTCAGTGTATATAAAGGCATTAAAAGTATACAACACTAGTTGCCTAATTAGGAGACCGTCAAGATCCTAATGCTTCACATGGGTATTTGTATGGACATCTTTATTGTGACCTGCCTCACTTTCTAAGTCTGCAATTAAAACCACAAAAACAATTAGACTGCAAACTGAAAAATTGAACACCTGAAGCAGCATCAACTGTATATGTTCTGCAATATATCTAATGCACATGATGATACTTACCAATATGCATTTAGTTAAAGATTGCTACCATAAAACTAATGTCTTATTCCTGTATAATATCAAATGTCATCTTCAACATGCATATGCGGAGTCAACGGAGGGACCAAGAACTTGATACCTTATCCAGATGTGAACCTAGCATGTATACTAAGTTTAACTTTCTAAAATAAAATTTTGTTTTATCTTGTATATGACCTTTCATGTCAGTCTAGAAGCTCATCATCAGATACTTTCTCATTCACGGGGAGAAATAAATTCCTTTAGCAAAATAACAAGTTTCTCCTAACTGGCACAATTCAGGTACCTCTAGGCATCAAGATTTTGTTATAGTTGCCACCTTAAGAATCCCTATAAGACTTGTCTAAAACAATCAAACTGATTGGAGATGTGCTTAAAGTGCTCAAGGATTCAGCTCTATTATTATTGACTACTACTACAGGAATCCAATCTTTTGGTGTGGCTCTTGCACCTTCTGAGTGCAGATGAGCTGCCCACTTTCAATATCCGCTGTGGGAAGTACAGAAACAATTAGATTGCAACTCAAAAGGCCAACACCTGAAGCTGCATCAAGCACTCTTCTACCAGGTATGTCCTCTGTAATATGACTAACATACATGATACTACCTATATGTAAGTGAAAAACTATTGCTACCATAATACTACACACTATTCCTGTATAGTAATGTACAGTTATACAAGCAAATCTCATAACTGGAATGTCGCCTTCAACATGCCTAAAGCTAATTAAGTTTTGAGTCCCTTAGAACCAGATACTTCACCCAACAGTGAACCAAGAATGTAACTAAGCAAATCTTACTTTAATAACTTGTGTTTACACTTGTACATTGAAGCACAACCAACAAACCAAAAGGATTTAGCATTAGATCTGTGCAACAATATCTGTTCCAACAATAAAAAGGAACTCAGCAACAAATGTTTACATTTCAGGTCAAGTTATACCCAGCACTACGGTAAAGAACAACTTACTATATATATGATGTGCACATGAAGAACATTATCACTGAGGTTTTAGCCATACCCTACGCCACTTGCAAATTATTTCTTTGGATAGGGAAAAAAGGCGGAGAACAATAAATCTTAAGACAATGCCAAGAAAAATCAATATAAAGGATACATGGAAGGATACAGAAGTGCATAAACTGCGGACACCTGCATGACTTCCTACTGCAAGGTTTTAAGGAAAAAATCAACCAGCAATATGAATTCAGTCTTTCCTGAAAAAGCAAAATAAATTTAAGTATTTAGGTTAGTCAAACCCATAGCTGCTTTACCTAGCCAATTTGACCGGTAGACCACAAAAGGCACCAGTCACAGGAAATTCTTTTCTGATGAGACCAATCATAATAAATTCTGATTTAGATGCCATTCCAATATCAACACATAGCCAGATTAACCTGACAAAAAGAGAATTAGCTGCAATAGTGGGACATTTTGTCACAGTTTTTCTAAGGTCCTGAAGGATCATATCGGTCTTCAAAATCATCAGAAGCATCCCTTGCCTTCCGTTTCTTGAAGTCAAAATGACGATCACCTCTCTCCCTATGTGGACTACTCTCCTCAATTGATTTGTGGTACCTTCTGGAAAAATTTAATCTAGAATCATTTGAATAGTCTCTCTTCTCTTTGCTGATCGATTTCTCACGTGAATATGCACGACCAACTCGCTGATTTGGGCTTCTAGAGTAATCTTTTTTGTCCTGTCTGGACCTCCCATTACTTCTCTGGGCCACTAAATGTCGATGATGCCACTGAGATGCTTTTTCCATATTTTCAGAATAATCATCTTTGCAATCTGTTGAATTGACTTCTCCATCAGTATGAAACTCTTCCCTATAACCACCCTCCCTTACTTTGCTTAAAGCAGACGAATCTGGCTGCCTCTTTCCAGACTCAGCTTTATCCTTATAATTATTATTATCCACCCTGTAGGATGCGGACGGCGGAAATTTGGTCCCTTCAGCTCCTTTTGTTGGGCAATTGATGGGATCTGCTTGCCTGATTTCCTCCATGTATTCCTCAATTATGTCCCTCATAACCTAAAGGTAGAAGAGGACATCAATGAAGATGTAAAAGAATAAGGTGTATAGGGAACAGAAAGAAGTATCTGAATACACAAAATGAGTAGACAAAAAGATCGAGATCTATAACGAGTGCAAATAATTGAAGTCCACAAAGCTTTCTGCATTACCAGATGGGCATCAATAGAATTCTTCTTCGCAAATTGATTTTTGAAGGAACAAACTCAGAGTTAGGTCAATGATATACATGACTTGATAGAAAAACAACAGAGAAAACACAGTCAAATCTTAAGAAGCAAAATGTACCTGTGTTGTTGACCGCTTCAACTTTTTCCCGCGATACGACATTCTTCTACGTTTGTAATCCCTTTCCTCAGCTAATAATTCCTCTCTAGTCTTTGTCCTATCTGTGTCCTGAAAATGCCACGCAAAAGATTAAGAAAGGAGTAAGGATCAAATTGATAAGACTAATGTAACTGAAGCTTTAAAGTTAAATTGCATATCACTAAATAATATTTTAATTCACCAATTTTAAGTGAATTTCGCATACTGAAGAATTTAAGTCACTGAATTTTAAGGAATCAGGGTCTTAAGTTTTATCATCTGAAAATGTTTAACGCTAAGAGGTGTTTGACCATGCTAACAAGCTGGTCAAACTAGCGCTTATAAGCAAAAATCGACCAAATGCTTAAGTTTGGTTACCCCTAACTTATGATTTTATAGCTTATATGCAGTTTTGGTTTGACAAAACCTTTTACGATGGTATCCCTAATATGTTTATTTAACTCTCTGAAGTACTCCACATAAAACATAACTTTTAATTATCTCTATACTTTTTCTCCATCATTCATCTGATTTATGTAGAAATATTTTTAGATTTATAATTTTTGACAAATAGCTTTAGGATATTTCAGTCATTTTAACAGAAAAAGTGTTATCAATACCTTTTAATGTAGATTTTATAAAAATCCAAATAATTATTAAATATAGCTTTTCATAAGAGTTTTTAGTTTGTACGAGATGCATTTATATGATATTTAGTGATTGCTCATCCTCCATACTATAACCCGAAATTGTCTCACTAAATTTTTTAAAAGAAATTGTAAATGCCACTCAGGGGTCATTTTGGTTCATGGACTAGTTGAGATTCTGGTGCAGGTATAGTTTTGCAGAGATTAATAATACTTGTACATCTTCTGACAATACAAGTTCTTCCGTGTTGCAACCAATATGAGATACAAGCTCAATTAACGTATAAGTTATACTGGAAATGAAAATGTCATCAAACACACAATAAATAATACTACCATGACTACTTTTTCTAACCTCTCCAACCAAACGACCCCTTGTATGTAATAAGTGATCTTAAATTTCACATCAAATTTCTATGGTGCAGCAAGCATAAATTGGTCCATTGCAACCTTCACTACTAGCAGAGTGCACTGTTCTCACACAGTAACACATCCACAAACAGATTGACTAACAAGTGCAATGAATTCGAAACTTCTAGCCAGACACAAACATATTGAAACACATTCCAGTTTTGTATTTTATTAATTAGCACATTAAACTTTAAAAAATAACAGTCTTTTTGGCACCACGTCTATATTCAGTGCTAGAAGAGACCATGAAGAAAGGATAAAACAGAAAGCATACTTTCATTTGTTGTATTCTGTTAGGATGAATTTTCTCAAGAAGATCTGAAGGGTCGGAAAAACAGAAATATAAGCAAAAATGCTCTTAATGTTTAACCTCCCAAAAGCAGATAGTACTTTCAGAAGCTACTTCTATCCCAAATGTTTCTACACTGGTTATCCCCGTAGAGTTATATATATTTATTGCTTCAAGATCAGCAATGACTCAAAGTACCATTTGACAAGCAAACACACCTGATTATTTCGCGAACGCTGCCACAGAAGTCCATCATGTTCAAGCAGGGGTTTGTAATTAGGGCGTTTTTGCCGTTCCTCATCTGCTTTATTTGAAATATAAGTGTGCTCCATCGATCTGCAAAGAAAACTGTTTAGCAATATACTATAGGAAAAATACACCAAGTATATTTTTATTTCATGCTTGAAGAAAAGAGTGAGATCAGAAGAAAAAAACAGCAATAAAGAACTCCTGTTCTTAACAACTTTGCACAAATTGTAGACGCTTTATCTTTGCACATCACTACTTTACTAAGCCTGTTTGGCCAACCTTCTGAAATCAACTTATTTTGAAAAGGGTTTTTTTCAAAAAAGTACTCTTGGTGAGAAGCAGTATATCTTTGATTAATCGATTTGAAAAGTACTTTTGAGCAGTAACTAGTGTTTGGCCAAGACTTTAGAAAGTGCTTCTAAGTATATTTTCTCAAAACTGCTTTCCAAAAAAAGTACTTCTGAGAAACAACTTCTTCTACTTCCTAAAAACACTTATTTTCGCCTAAAAGTCTGGCCTAACACCTCAATTTTAAGAATAAGCACTTTTGGCCTCACAAAAGCTTAGCCAAAAAGAAAGTATTTTATCGCAAACCAGAGGGCTGGCAAGAACTTTTTATTCATCTGCATATAAATCATCTGTGAGACAGATACAACTTTCTACACAGTTAAAGATATGTTTTTCATCCCTTCAACTTTATGTTATTGTCCTATGCATCTAGATGTATGGTCGTTATAAATCCAGTTGAAACTCTGGGTCTGGGCTTAGTAGCAAAATCATTCATGAATCATAACTTCAATTTGAACCAAGTTAACCCCCAACTTTTGACATCAATGCATAGACTAATCTTCTAAACAGAAAGCATGCACTTGTCCAAAAAAAAGCTCAAGTGTCTTCTCTTTTTTACCATCTAAAATCGAAGAAAAGAAAGAAGGATCAGTTGGCAAGTGGATTACGTGCCTGGGTATGAAACTCTAAACGCAAAATTTGATCATTCAAGTCGGATAGCATTTATCTACGCTAGGATCCGAAGAAAATAGTCAGTAATATAAAAACAAAAACTAATAAAACACTTAAGTAAGAGTTGCTGAATTTGTGTTTTTCCTTCTCATTTTTTTTTTTGGGATGTTGTGATGCACATCTAGACATATGGACATCTTCAGAATACCATTCTAAGAAGAGCAAAGGTAATATACCGTTGGTAAGCTGGAAGTGATGGTAAACTCCTTAGTGCTTTGAGCTTTTCTTCAAGCATGGATCGTTCATACAATGCTGCAACAGCTGCTGCTACTTGGGAAACAAAAATTGCGCTTTTAGAGAGTGTTTCATCCATTACATTTGTTCCCTCATTCTCCATTCTTCTTTTAAGTGGTTCACCACTTTCCTGTGGCTCTTGAAGATTGTCATCCCCACTTTTCATATCAGTAGATTCATTGAACATACAAGAACTAAATGCACAGTCACAGATACATTGCTTTAGCATGTTGATCGCAAACAACTTCCCATTCATTTCTCCATATAATACAGAAAGCTGGGTTCCCAACCACACGAAGACTTGAACTAAGACAGGACACTTAAAACTCCGATTACTCAAAACTGATTCCTCAGCTTCTCCATTGCAAAATGTACTAGCTAAATCATTAGATTCCCTAACTATAGCCTTCAAACAAAGCTTAAACAGTACAAGTATATGATCCCTCATTGCTAAATCAAGTACAACACTATAATACCTAGCTGAATTAGCAACTACCCACGTAGATAAACACTCCACACTACTCATCCCTAATCCTAAAATCGCACGAAGAACACGATATGAATACATAAAAGGAAACTCATTCCAATGATCCGTTTCATTCCTAATTGCATAAACCTCCGAAGGAAGAAGCTGACTAACAATTTCTTTCGGAAACCCCATCAAATTTTGACCAAAATTAGCACATTCGGAAGATAAAACAGCAAGCAAAGTGAGCATTGGAGGATTGGCATTTTCTCCCCTAATAGGAAAAGAAACAACACCAGGACAATTAGAATAACAGAAAGTGGGATTTTCAAAATCGAGGTATGTTTCAAGAGAGAAGCAAAGGTCAGACTGTGATTCAAGCAAGGGTAAGGTAAAGGGATTGGATGAGTGAAGGGTATGGGGGTATTTGAGGTGTTGTATTAGGGTTTGAATGTAATCGGCGGATGAAGAGGAAATGGGTGGGCAATGAAGAGAGTGAGAGAAGAGGGAAGAAAGGGGAAGACGATGGTTGGGATTGAAAGGGCATGGGATTAGAGCTGGAGAAGGAGAGGGAGGAACAAGGGGTATAGGAAGAAGAGAGGAGAGAGAGTTGAGAGTAGTTGAAGAGAGGTTGAGGAGAGATGTAAGGGATGAGAGAGCACCAGGAAGATCATATGCCAGAGCACTGGTTGGAGTAGGGTGGTGGAAGTAAGGTGGTGGCGATGGCAGGGGAAAGGCGGAGGCCGGTGGCAGTGGTAGCGGTGGCGGGGGAAAGGCGGAGACCGGTGGCAGTGGTAGCGGGGGCGGCGGAGGAAATGGATTCATTTCGTCCTTAATGCTCGGCCGACGTGTTGACGAACTAAGTATATTGTGTATGTATTGCGTATATAGTAAGTCTATCTATTCAATATCTATTTAATTTTTATCCATAATTAAAAGACACCCCACTAATTAAGAACTCATCCTAATAACTTGACCTACACCCAAATTATAACCCAAAATCAATCTTTATACCAAGTAAATCCCTAATTCAACTATTTAAATCCCTAAATCTATCCTTAATCAATTTCTAAAAGTAAGTACTAGAAGTAGATTTTTCGATATGAATCCATCGCCCTTATTGAAGAAATAGAACAACGCACCTCTGAATGGGCCCTGCAGTGCGTGATTCAAATTTAATCGGAGCTCCAATGTGAACTCCGACACCGAATAAAAAAAAAAGAAAAGAACAACACATACATGGAGAGCAAGAAAATCGCTATAACAAGAGCTCCTAGCTGGACCGGAACGAAAAGAGGATGAAACTAGTCGAATGGGAGATGAGACAATTCTGTTCTTGAGTGTCTGCTTCATGATCATCTACAATTTCGTTAATGAAAGATACAATGTAGCTAGACGATCGGAGAATCAGAGATTCTCGAAGAAGTGAAGAGTAAGTCCCCATAAGCTTCCTCTTGGCTTTTCTGACCGTCCCAATCTCTCATTATCCAAACCCTCCAAATCAAGATGCAACACACTCCCTCTGTCCCAATTTATATGACTTACTTTCCTTTTTAGTCAGTCCCAAAAAGAATGACACATTTCTATTTTAAGTAACAATTTGCCTATAAAATGTCTTTTTTTACCCCTTAATGAAATAATTTACAACCACACAAATTTCTATCATTCATTTTGGACCACAAGTTTTAAAAGTCTTTCCATTTTTCTTAAAGTTTGTGCCAAATCAAAGTACATCATATAAAATGGGACGGAGGAAGTATAAAAGTTCCTCAGATGATACACTGTTTGAAGCATACGTTTCATCTTTACGCCATCAATTTCAGTACTTGAAATCAACTAAGTTAATCGAGGCAGCCCAGGTAAGATTTCATAAAAAAAGGAATCAATTTTGAATGTAAATTTGATGATTTAGGCTTAAATGAGGAGTGGGGTTAGTGGAACTAATTTTTTTATTTTTTTAAATCACTATTTATTAATTCGAAAGTCTAAGTCAATTATCAATATATTGTATATTGTATTGTAATCTATTTAATTTTGAAACAATTATAATTATTTTCCTATTATTAATTCGAAAGTCTGACTCACTCCGCAGAAGTCTCCCTGATGAGTTTTGTTTGTCTTGCCTTGTGTTTCTTTCTATACTAGATGGTTCTTAGCACGGGCCCAACAATTTAAATTCTAATATAATTTATTGTGTTTGATCTACCTAGGAAATATGTTCGAGAAACCAAGTACCATAATAAACATTTGGCGAAATGATCTAATGGACCCTTGAACTTGTATGTATTTGTATTGTGGATCCTTCTACTTAACTCTTTACCAACTAAACCCTTAAACTCAATCAAAAGATGATTTTTAAACCCCTTCTATCATGCGTGTAGCCTACTCTCCCTTAAATAGATGACATGCCAAATCCATGTCACATAAATTAATAGCACGTCAAAATAATCTTCATTAACTATTTTTAAAAATTATTAATCAAAATATTAAATAAAAGGTAATGGATAGGGGTGGGGGTGGGGGATGATTGATGAAGGTGATGTGAGGGAAAGAAGAAGACTTTTTTTCAAAAAGACATTATTATTTTATTTTAATAAAATTTAAATATGTTCTTCACTTGCCTTTACATGCATGTGGTTACACTCTCTCGCCCACTCATTCATTTTAATGTCACATAAGCATGATCAATGGTCAAAAGTGTTTGATATATTATGTTTTAAAGAGTCTAAGGACTCAATTGATAAATGGTTAAGTAGAAGGGTCCATAATACAAACTCATACAAGTATAGGGATCCATCAGATCATTTCGCCTAAACATTTTTATACCAAAAATTACATGAGACAAAAAATAAAAATACGAATAATAAGTAAGAGTTTTTATAAAGATCAACAATCTTAGTGAGCTCTAGCTTTGAATCGATCAAGAAGTTACTAAATTCTATCAACCTATTTTTGTTTATGGCTTTTGTTCTTGCACTTGAACTCCACTCTGAGCAGTCTTTACCCAGGTACAAATATAGTTGTGAACTACTAGGACATTGTGGGGAGGGACCTTACATTCAGAAAGTTTACAGAAATATCCACCAACATGTACACTACTCTTCATCTTGATCACACTATATATATTGATCCACAAAAGTTAGTACATTTTCATCTCTGTGAGTGAGCAACTGAATTACAAGAAGTAATAATATTTGTCATGATGAAATACTATTGAAAGACCTGAAAGTTAGTTCATACAGACATTGCAACAGAGAACCATACATACTCAATTTATATTTATATAAGATACCTTCAAATGATATTGGCTCAAGTTTGAAAAAATGAAGAAGATGGTTTCCCTGAATCATCAACCATTTTAAGCCTTATAACATTTCCATTCAAATTATTAAAAAATAATCAAGCTCGAAATAATTAATTAGGGGGCATGATCTGAACTTTCTTTTGTTGTTTCTATTAAGTCATTGAAGGGTAGATTGGCGTTTATGTGAGTTCGTTCTCTACTGCTTTTGTATTTGCTTTGAGAGCCTATTTGAGAGTGTCTACCCATTTTTCTTTCTTTCTTTAATCTATTGAATTTATCAGTTGAAGAAAGATCATTTTTTGGATTCTTAATTGTCATCAATATCTATAGATGGCTACTGATACTGTTTCACCAGATCATCCTACACCCGCCTCTGAGTTAAGCTTCTATGAATCTCAGATTTTTACCAAAACATGTTTACATCTCTTCTTTGGGTATTTTAAATGGATACATATGTTGACAACTTAGCTGAAGTGCCCTTCTTGGTTGTTTGGTTATAGATAGAGTTTTGTAGCAAATATACTCTTTGCTCTATCATCTCTAATGTTATGTGTTGAATCTTATTAACACAACTCAGATTTTAGAATTTATATTGTGACCCAATATTTGAGTTCAAGGGTCCTTGTTAATAATGTAGTTTTGATTTTACTATTATAAGGATATTAGGGTGATGAGCCTCATCAGTCCCTACTATCTCTAAGAAATCAAAAAGAGAGAAGTCCAATGTTCAAGTGCATTTTACCAGTTTTCCAAACACGTAAGTAAGGACTTCTTTATGGAAGATGATAAAACTACATGACAACATAATAAAAAAGATTTGAAATGAAATTCACAATAGCTTTAGCGACCTAGAATATGAATTTAAGGTACAGAGTTGTCGAGCAAACGTCTTTTTAATTTAACTCTGTTTGCTCGTTGTCGAGCTAAAAAGACATATTTTTTCTCGGGTGGTATTAGTTTAAATAACTCACTCGTCTAGCATTTTGGTTCAGTGCATACATTTTCAGAGGTGTGATCATAATTATAACTCATCCCTGACATTGTTGTAACTTTTCTGTTCCAACGAATATTCTTCGGGAAAAAATCCAATCAACCATAGTCCATATGTTTAATACTATTTAGTATGATTATATGGTGATATAATTTCAACTTTAAAGGCACATTTCATAGGTAAAAATAACTCAGATAAATATAAACATACAGTTTTTATACCTAGATAATAAAATCAGTGAAAAGGGAGATAGGCATATCCAAGATGATCAAACAAATCTTGACATTGACGTATTACCAGCCAAAAGAGCACCATAGACCTCAAAAACTTGACATTTTAATGCGAAGAAGCTAACTGGAAAATTTAAATCCCGCAAAAGATGACACTTACCAAAGTTAAAAGGGTTGAACACACACAAACACAACAATCACCACAACACAGACCTAAAGACTCCCAAAACAACTTAGGCTTTAAAATTGGAGAAATATTTAAGAAAATGACTAACCAAACCAAAAGCATGGATTGATTTAGATGAAATCCAAGCAACTCGTTGTGTCCTAAGTGGAGTATCACTTGAAATTCTAAAAAAGAGCTAAACTCGGGACAATTCAAAGAGACGAGATAGTCTAAGGAAGTTCACAACCGTCGAACTCACATATTTTAACAGATGTAAGATTAGTGAGATTATGAATTTTTTTTTCTATTGCTCAATGATGCATTGTTCTCACTCTTTATGTGATATTCTATCCTCCTCCAATTCCATGGCAAGCTTCTCTCGCTCTAATTCATACCGATGAATGAATAATAAGCAGTCATGAGCTACGTCAATGCAAGAGAAGACTAATCTTCTACTTTTAACAAAAACAAACAAATAGTAATACTGGAAGGATGCATCTGTAATGACCCTCCAGGTCATTTCTGTGTACCCGCCTTCTTTTCATCGTTTAGAGCATTCTTATAGTGACCCCAAGTCGATTTATGACTTGATGGCACTGACTGTTTGGTCGCCTGGTCATACGTTTGGATTTTGTGCAACTTTTTGTGTTTTAGAGACCTTGAAGCTTGAATAGTTGACTTTAGTCAAAATGTCAAGTCAACGACCTCATAATGGAATTCTGACAGTTCCATCAGCTCCGGAATGGCCAAATTAGGCTAGTAGCATGGTTGGCACGAGTATTGAGGCCTTTCGTGCGAGTATGAATCATTAGGCGTTTTAACCTTTGAAATTTGGTCTAAGTTGACTTTGGTCAACATTCTTGGAAAATGCACTCGGATGAAAATTCCATCAGCGCGGTTAGCCCCGGAATGTCGAGTTTGGTCTAGAACGACATTTCGTTCGACTCCCGAGGCCTCCTGACTCATTCTAAGCCCCTCGGTGGACTTTGGTTAAAATGGGCTTTAGGAGTGGGACTCACTTTTTATCGAGATGACCTCTGATAGAAATTCCGACTGCGCCATTGAGTCCGGAGTGTCGAATTTAGTAGGGAAGTATATTTATTTTATTTTTATCGGGTTCCGAACGAATCCCGAGCAACCCGTCGGAGACTATAAAAAAAATAGCAAAAGCTGAAATCTGGTGCAGC